CGGGGTAGGGGGGGGCCCCTTTCCGGTAGTTTTAACCCCACCAAAAAAGAGGGTCTGGTTGTGCGGGGGGGCGCGGAACCCGGCATTATTTTTTGGCCCCAGAAACAAAAAAAACAGGCACACACCCTTTTGTTGATTTAACCAGCTTTTGTTCCAGGGTAACATGGAAAAAGGGGAAAAAGGGGTGGGCGAATTTTTTTTATTTAAAGGGAATGTAACTTGGGGAATATGGGTTAATGTAACAGGGGGAATATGGGTTAATGTAACAGGGGGAATACGGGTTAATGTAACGGGGGGAATATGGGTTAATGTAACTGGGGGATTAGGGGATAATGTAACAGGGTGAATATGGGTTAATGTAACAGGGGGAATATGGGTTAAGGTAACAGGGGGAATATGGGTTAATGTAACAGGGGGAATATTGGTTTGGGGGGGGACTTTCATCAGGTGTTGGTGGGTTGGTGTTTAAAAAAAAAAAACTTAAATCCCCCAAACATTGGGGGGAAAATGGTCCAAACCAAAAGGGCATAGTTCCCCCCCCCCCCCCCCCCTCACCCTGCAACCCGACATGCCGGCCTTGAGGAGCGCGACGTTCACGTCCGACGGCTCCGTTCCGTTGAGCAGCGACATCGAAGACCTCGTGAACGAGTTCTCCCGCCCCTCACTACCGGACGTGCCCGCGCCGTCGGCGCTACCGCTGTGCACCGAGGACGACCCGATGCTGCCGGAGCGGTAGCGGGCGGGCGGCACGAGCTCGTCGTCCGTGGCTGCTACGGAGGAGGATGCCCGGCTCTCGTCCTCTTCTTCGATGGTCCTATAAATTAAGGGGGGGGGAGTAGAACGTGCGTTGTGTAAAATTGATGTTTTGATTTTGGGGTCGATGGCCCTAAAGATAGACGGGTGGGTTGTGTGTGCGCGGCGGGACATCGATGTATTGCGTAGTTGATGGTTTCGAGTCGATGACCCCAAAGACAGACGGATGGGTTGTTTGCATATGCGCGCGGTGGGACATTGATGCATGTGTAGTTAATGGTTTGGGGCCGATGGTCCTAAAGATGGGAGTAGGTGGGTAGAGTGTGCAAATGATGCTTAGCATAGTTGATGGTTGTTGGAGATGTGCAATTATATTGTTGGGTTGTTTACAGCTGTTTTTGGTGTGTTCTTTTTCTTCATCCCGCACTGCCGTTCCGGTCCGAAAAAACAAAGCCTTGCAACACCAAACACTTAGCCAGTCTACGTCTCACACCTCTGCCGCTCTCTACCAGCTATTGAAAACCAGGTAGGAGGGTGCACAACACAACACATCTGAAGGTGGCAAAAGGTGCTGAAGCAGACATTGAAAAGGATTCTAATTTGAAGACAGCAACAGCCCGATCGAGCAGCTCTCTCTAAAACGTCCCATGACGCAACACTGCAAGGTTGCGAGAGAGGTAAAAACCAAAGAGTTTGCACAGGCAAAATCTAGATCTCCGACATTTCATCACAATCTACGAGACAGCAGTCTGAGGTGACTTTCACACGAGGGAAAATTGAAAACCACTCAGCAGGACGCGCGCACACACACCCGTCCACATTCATCGCTCCCCCGAGCTGCAGCCTGACCAGCTGGAGGTATTTCCCGCCTTCGATCGTGATGAGCTCCTCGTGCCTTCCTGTTTCCACCACTTTGCCGCCCTCGATCACGCAGATCTTGTCCGCGTTTCTGCCGTCGGCCCAAGACAGAAGAAAAAGGGGAAAAGTGTTATCGTTCAAATTTGTTTCAGTTCGCAAGGAGGAAGCGTCTTGAACAAAAAAAAAAAATCAGATATGGTTCAGACGCACCCCCCCCCCCCCCCTCCGCGCGAGCCAACAAGGGAGAGACAGCACTCCTGCCGTTATGTATTTACTTCAACAATATCGAGATTCTGTAACCGAAATAATAAATACGTCATCCATCAATGCAGAGTACACCTGCGTACAGATTTAGCAATCTCATCGAAGAGGTACCCCACACAGAAATCCAACCAAGTCGGGCTGTGCCCGAACTCTCATCATCCGCCCGGTACTCTCATCATCTACCCGCACTCTCATCACATGTCTGTACAGCAGTACGACCTCCAAGCAGCAGCAGCAGCAGCAGCAGCAGCAACTCACCGGATGGTCGACAGGCGGTGGGCGATGACGATGGTGGTGCCGCGCTTCATCTCCAGCAGACGGTCAAGTGCCCCCTGAACGAGCCTCTCGCTTTCCACGTCCAGCGCAGAGGTGGCTTCGTCCAGCAGAAGGACGGCGGGGTTCTGCGCGCAAAAAAACAAGTGGCAACATTACGATTCACGTTCGCGTTGTGGAGAGAAATGTGGTATGGGGGTATTTTATGTAGTTACAGTATGCATCTATTTTCCTATTTTTTTGTTTCGGGGAGGGCATACGGGGGTGGTAAGTGAATGGCAGAAACGGGGTAGTTCATACTGCGCTGTGCGACGGCGGAAGCGGCAGGGAATAAGTTGTGACCAAGAAGAAAAAATGCACACACCCCTTGTAGCACTACCACTAAGACGCTATTATAGCAGTTTGACTGCTGCTGTGTGCTCTTCGTGGATAATATGCATATTAGTCATCTGCAGACTACCTATTAATAGATGGACTTTCAAGAAACACATTTGATGATGGAAAAAAACATCAACGACGCCTATTATACGAAAGTAAAAAGTCACGCTTCACGACGGCTGCAGTCCCCCCCTTACCCCGCTCACCTTAAGGATGGCGCGAGCGATCGCGATCCTCTGCTTCTGCCCGCCGGAGAGCTGCACTCCCCTCTCCCCCACGTCGGTGTCGAAGCCGTCGGGGAACTGCACAACGAAGTCGTAGGCGTTGGCCAGTCGTGCCGCTTCCTCCACCTATTTGCGAGTTTTGAGAGACGAGTTCTATAAAAAAAAATTACGGGTTGCATGTACGAGCAAACTAGGAACGACGACAAGGGGGGGGGGGGACTACGAACTGCGCACTACGCACTACTACAACGTTTTCCCAGAGGAGGGGGGGGGGGGGGAAGTGGTACTTGTGCACCGACCTTCCCCCCCCATCCCCTATCCCTCCGAGCAAAGATATCCCAATACCGAACCGAGCCCTCCTTCATGGGTTTCGCACCAAAACGCATGCTTTAAAAAACGTGGAAATGAAAATTAATTAATTTGCGTGGTGAGGGTAGAACGGCATCGCACAGGTTGCGGGTTGCGGTCGCTCCGACTGTACTGTGCACTCCAATCACCCCGCGACAAAGTGGGTACTATTACATTATACACCTGTGAAAAAAAAAAGATGATGAGACACGTCTTCGACGGATGCTGACGAGATGGAACCCATTCAAACGCCACCCGCACACGTCTCCAATGACCTGACAAGTAAGGCATGCAACACGTGAGTTCGTCCCTCCCCCCCTCGCCACATCTCTGCGTTTGCACTACCTCTTGCGTTCGTCACACGTGGCCCACACCCACCTCCTCTCTCGTGGCCCCCTCCCTCCCGCACGCGATGTTCTCGGCAATGGACTGGGCGAAAAGCAAGGGCTCCTGCGAAACCAGCCCGAGCCTCGACCGCAACCACTGAATGTTCAGCTCCTGTTCGTAAGCACACACCATGCGTTACCGCAGACAGGATAAGAAGGAACAGGGGGGGGGGGGGGGGGGGGGGG